TAACGTCATACGATAGTCATCACGTCGTTGCTCCGCATCTAACGAAAACAATGGTCTATGTTATGACATACAGGGAGGCTTTTCTAAGTGAATGTTAAATTTATAATGCTATAAAAAAATGATAAATATTTTAAATCACTCGTAATTAATTAATTACATTCATTTAAACTTATCTCAAAAAGTGCGTGATTTATACGCAACTCATTTATTTTACGCGCGATCATTCATAAATAATAACACGCACACAAGTCCATTTGTGTGCGTCGTCCGCGTTGTCAACAAGTTCTGTGTTTTAAGGGACAGAATGGTAATTTTTTGAAAAAAAAAGTTTGTTTTTATTTCAATAAACGATTATACTACCGAGTCAGAACCTCCTGTGTAAATTTGGGCACCTTTAAAAAAAGTCTCCCTGTATACACAAACTAATATCTGTCCGAACCGTTACGAACTGGGTACCGTCAAGAAGAGAGCATATTCTTTCCTAAAAGGTCGGCAACGCATCATGGGCAGCGGTGATCACTATAAATCAGGTAAGCCTCACACCCACTTTTTCCATAAAAACACGTTAGCTGTAAGCGTGGCTTCAAGCGGTGTTATGCACCGGCTGCGACACACGTGACTGTTAACGTACTAGGGTCGTTAGCACCGATCGATACAAAATTTTAAAAGTGAAAAGATGTCATTATAAAACGAAACCAAATTAGAAATTATGTATCTCATATAGATAAATAAATTGATGCATGCTTAACGACACATGAATTTTATTTTAATGGCTTTTGTTAATTATTATAAACTAGCTATTAACCGCGACTTCGACCGCGCGGCCTCTGAAATTTTTTCCTACTTAGTTGACACTTATTGTTCCTATATTTTGGTCAATTCACACAATATCTTTATAAATTACAGTCACACATAATTGTGTTATTCTGATGTTTAATCTATATTATTGTGAAGTTTCATTAAAATCTATTCAGTAGTTTTTGCTTGAAAGAGTACCAAACATCCATCCATACATACAAACTTTCGCGTTTATAATATTAGTAAGGAAGTAAGGATAGAAAGGATACCAATAGGTCAACTGTGTCATTTTAAAATAATATGATGTACCGCGGATGTACCAGGGCCGCATAGAAGACTGACGTGAAGTCTAATTATCATTCTTTCGTTTAGTTTGAAAGGTAACTAAGGTATACTCTAATCGTCTAAAAGTTGGCAACGCATCTGCAACCTTAGTATAAACTTTGGTAGATCACCAAATAAATATAAACTTACTAATATGAGACATTTTCTTAGCTTTAATATAATTCCAAAGACAAAGGCGAGTCATTATAACTATCAATTAAAAATGTAAACGTTTAAGAGTATGTTGAACTCCAATCACTGCAGGTCATTCCGACATCAATAAGTAATTATTGAGTGGACGTCGTTAATTAAGAACTGCGTTATTGAGATTCTTTATTTAGTATAGGTCCCAATTTAAAAGCGATTTACCTAACTATTGCTTTCTCACAAATTGTACATGCGATTGAAATTGTTGACGTTTCGATTTGGAGGTAAATCTTTCTTTATATAATATAATTCTTCTAGTGTGTATGTCACTGTACTCCTAAACGGCTGGACCGATTCACGCTCAAGCTTAATAATAAGATTGGAATGGAGCGTTATTATTTAGATGAGTAACATGGAATTCTGTTCAATTCTATATAACTTGAGTAAAAGTTCAAAACGAAAACTATATCAACAAATTAGCTAGAGTTATCTGTAGTAGTTAATTTGAAATATATCCTCAAAAACGCCAACCGTTCGTGACTTCAACCGCTACGCGTTTACCGGAGACATGTCAAGTAGTACCTGTGGCTTTAAATTTGCATGTAGGTATATGTTTAATGCACGATTAATTGGCGCCTGCGGCGTCGACGCTCAGCCTTTGTTAGTTCATGACAAATTCTTCGGCTATCGAATGAAACCCATTACAAGATATGTTCATTATTTATGTCTCGTGGGCGCACAAAGTGAGCAAAAGCGAGGAAAGTATAGTAAAAAATTATAAGTTAATTTATTTAATAATTCATCTGCGCTCATGATTAGAGTAATTTGCATAGCTGAAACAAACTGGAAACTACGGCGTCTGCGGGAACGGGAATCTTCAGGTTCGGTCTTTGTGTGTGAAAAAAAATTCAATGTCCATCATACGTACTTATAAAGGATTTAAGGTGCCAGATGAATACTTTAGATTCAAGGCTACCTAGCACACTGTATGTATGGAAACCTGAGCTATAGCGCGTGCGAGCGAGACGCATACAACAACGCTGTAACTTGACAATCGAAGAGTGTATGAAGAGTATCGCCTAGAACCAGAATAATTCAACGGTTTACATTTTAAGAATAATCATGTAATACAGCATGTTTCTAAAAATCAAGATAATATTTGTCAAATATGCTCTACCCTCTGTCCTGTCCATTGAGAACTCGTGCTGTAAAGCTCAACGATCCGTATCGGCATTACCTTATCTTGCACATCTGGTCCAATTCGGTGAAAAATTAGCTTCAGGCCGCCGAACGCTTATCGTTGGGAAGCTTCGAGAATCAAAACGTGCAAAACAGGTTGGTCAGGACGTGGCACGTCGTCTTGTAATCCATTGGGCCTTTACTTTTAAATCACTACATAGTATAAAACAAAGTCGTCCCGCTGACTGCCTGTCCATATGTATGCTTAGATCTTTAAAACTACGCAACGGATCTTATTTGGATTATCATAGTGAGTCCAACTTCGATGCAGAGGTCAATCGGCGAATCCAACTCGGATGGGCAGAGTTCGGGAAACTTCGGCAAATCTTCTCGTCGAATATACCTCAATGTTTGAAGACTAAAGTCTTCAATCAATGTGTGTTGCCAGTGATGACCTACGGAACCGAGACGTGGTCCTTCACTGCTGGCCGTATGAGGAAGCTCAAAGTCGCTCAGCGAGCTATGGAGCGGGCTATGCTCGGTATTTCTCTGCGTGATAGAGTTCGTAACGAAGACATCCGCAGTAGAAACTAAGATAACCGACATAGCTCACAGGACTAGCAAGCTGAAGTGACGATGGGCCGGCCATATAGCTCGTAGAACCGATAACCGTTGGGGAAGAAAGGTTCTCGAGTGGCAGCCTCGTACTGGGCATCGCAGTGTAGGACGACCCCCCACTAGATGGAGTGACGACCTGTGCAAATGTGCGGGAAGTCGATGGATGCAGGTGGCTCAGGATCGTACTTCATGGCAGTCTATGGGGGAGGCCTATGTTCAGCAGTGGACTCAAACAGGCTGAAATGATGATGATGAGTGATTCAAAACGAAGGTTTATATGTATTGCAACCGTGGGAACCGTGGGCGGGTCACTAGTCTTTTATATGTGACAATCGTTCCTTGGAATCTGTCTTTGCGTTCAATGCATCGTTTAAGAAAATAATGAAGTAATATAAAGAGGGTGAATTGGTTCCATTGACCACAAAGGATAATGAACATTTGTTTTTCGTGGCAATCGATTGGGAAATAAAACTGAGGCCATGTGCCCAGTCAAACATTTATAAAACAAATTTATCTTTAGTTTCGTATTCTTCTTTCGTTCTTTATGTGACAACTTTCAATCCGTACACTATTAAAGCTACATCGAACGCATAGCTCGTGGAGCAACCAGGGCTGAGCGCGTGCTTATGCGTGCGTTCTTATTAGTTAATGAGGGAGGAGTTGTCAACTAAAGTTCATAGAGTTCCTTCGCTGCGGCCGTGGTCCCAATGGCTGCTTACCCTATCAATAGCAGGGTTGAGAGAACCACCCTTGAACGCGGGTGTATTTTGTGCGTGTGTCGTGTTGGTTTCGCCGTGCTCGTAGGCGATGACGTCCGTTTTAATTCATATCTATTTATCTAATTATTAACAATAAATCGATATTGTATATCATTATAAAATAAAGAAGACTTGAATGGCTGTTATTATTTAATAAGCAGAGCTGTGCTACAATTAAAATGTGTCTTCAACAGTTTCTTATTGCAGCAATCCCAAGGGTTCCAATAATAGACAATAATAGTGTATATTATAATATTGGTATATTTTTTTTTATGTGAATAGTTGTCAAGCGAGCAGACGATTCACCTGATGTTAAGTGAATACCGCCGCCAATGGACATCTGCTACACCCGAATATTTATAGATGCGTTGACAACCTTTTTGAAAATTGGGCTCCGGTCACCTCACTCACCAGACGATACGCGATAATTTCACTTTGCGCCGGTCTTCTGAGAGGTCTTGGTACTTACCCGGACGAGCCTGCCCATTCGTGCAACAGCCGAGGCTGTTGCGTGGCCCTACCGCCGTAAGTATTGAAAAGAATATGATTTTTTATACAGGTTTGTATATATTATTATATAGTACCCGGAGGACAGAGCTTTGCTCGGTTTGTTTTTTTTGGTAAATCGTGTTATTTGGAAATTACATTTAGATACAATTTACTGAGTAATGAAATATGCATAATATTTTTGGATCTTACCGACGTAATAATAAGAAAATATGAACTGATGTTTTTCACAAAAGAAAGAACTTTAAAAAAAAAAGGGAAAAAAATAACAAAATAGCAAATCGACAAAAAATTAAAAATTAAGAAAGCAATGATCTGGAATCGAAAAAAAAGTAAAAAAATAAATTTGTAAATGATCGTGACACGAACCACGGCCTTCTGTTTCGGGGCCGCCCGATTACCGACCGAGCTATTATAGCATTTTTTTTGCGGCGAAATTTACCGTCGTATTCGAATGATATTTTTCATTCCCTGAAAACAGGGATAAAAGGACATTTTCTAAAAATGAAACCTAGCTAGATCGATTTTTCGACCCCGAATCTACGCACATACTAAATTTCATGAAAATCGCTGGAGCCGTTTCCGAGATTCCGATTATATATATATATATATATATATACAAGAATTGCTCGTTTAAAGGATAAGAGATATATGTAGTAATAGATGCTAAAAGAATATCCTCTCGGCAGACCATAGCCATCCGTACGAAATCACTGCACATGGGAAAATCACTGTTCCCCGAGTGGAGTCCAGGATCCGGGGGCCCGGTGGTGTCCAGGGCAGGATGGGCCCGATTATATATGTAGTAATAGATGCTAAAAGAATATCCTCTCGGCAGACCATAGCCATCCGTACGAAATCACTGCACATGGGAAAATCACTGTTCCCCGAGTGGAGTCCAGGATCCGGGCCGTGGGTGTCCAGGGCAGGATGGGCCCGATTATAGGCGAATTGCCACTGTTTGATGACGCGCTTTCGCAAGGCCAACTGGCGAATTATTCAATTCATTTTACGCGCCTGTCTTCGAAGGGTAGTCGTTAAGTGGTCCGGCGTGAAACTGTGGTAATATTTTTTTCAAACAAAAGATAATATACAAATAACAAGCAATTATCATCTGAAGTGCAGAGATTACGAGTAGCACTATAAAAATTTAACGGTGATAGGGCCACGCAGCAGCCTCGGCTGTTGCACGAATGGGCTGGCTCGTCCGGGTAAGTACCACGACCTCACAGAAGACCGGCGTAAAGTGGGCGTATGACACTTTCGCGTTTCGTCTGGTGATTGAGGTAGCCGGAGCCCAATTTTCAAAAGGTTGTCAATGCATCTACAACCCTTGGGTGTAGAGGATGTCCATGGGCGGCGGTATTCACTTAACATCAGGTGAACCGTCCGCTCGCTTGACAACTTTTCACATAAAAAAAGATTACATTATAAAAGACATGTTGATTATACATTTCATCGTGCACCTTTCCTACTTACGTGCCATTTTGCTTAAAATTAATGTCAGATTAGAAAAAGCCAAGCCTTTTACATGTATTATTATAAGAATAACAATAGATGTTCCTATTTATTTCTTATATCGCTTATTTATTCTTTTTTATTCCAAGTGTAATCTATGTATCAATGTTATTTTCTAATATAAGCGAGAACTATGTAAGAGCGTGTTGTCTCGTCGATGAATCGTTTTCACAATTTGGCGAAGGGTTGTTACATTGTAATTCACTTAATGAATAATTAGCGTATTGTAAGAAAGAAAATCTTGAAACACAATACTATTTCGAGCCGTAATAGTAACAAATTTCATAATGGACTGCAATGCATTTACGTAACATATTGTTAAGATTAGATGGATGAATTACTCCTTAATTAATCCCGTGCCAAAATCATTCCCCTGTGATCGCCGTGCCGTGTCCGTAAGTCGGCAATTATTGCATGTACGAGTAATTAAACGATACAGAGTAATGATTCCTACTGGACACTTTGTGGAATGTAACTCTCAAACATTTATAGACCTCACAAAAGATGACTCTTGTATCCAGCAATCTCGCTTTTCCACACATAACAAACTTAAGAAATACCTCAACATTAAAAGATTTATTAAGAAAACAAATAAATTGTTAAAAAATAGATATGCATTTAAACAAATATATGATATGAAAAATGTGCAGTTAAAATTATATAACAAAGCAAAAATCTATAAAAATAAACTGTCCCCATCTATCATCTCTTGCGAGTAGGCTAAGCTCCGCTGTTTTTGCTATAAGGAAGGTTAGACAACTAACAGACATCGACACTGCCAGACTTGTTTACTTTAGTTATTTTCACAGCATCTTATCGTACGGCATTTTGTTGTGGGGTAGTGCATCTGATATAAATTCTATATTTATTCTTCAAAAAAGAGCTGTCCGAGCAATCTATAACATCGGAGCCCGGGATACACTCAGAGATATTTTTAAAGAGATTAATATACTCACTGTTGCGTCCCAATATATTTATTGTAATATCTTGTACGTTAGACATAATCTAAAACTGCTTTCCGAACCGGTGGTAACTTACGAACGTATTAATTTTTATGTAAAATTTTTGACATTCCATAAGAACGCGCAAGCGTCTATGTGAATAAATATATTTTTGATTTTGATTTTTTGATTTTGGACAGGGTGACGGTTACGAGGGTTAGGGAAGTGTCCAAATTCGTTGCAAATATAGCTTAATCTTTCCACTGTATTGTATTGCGACACTAACGAATAAAGTTTATATAATGATATATAGTTTATACAGTTTATAAACCTAAGTATGCACACGAAATTGCCACTTTTATAGATTACTAGCTTTTCGCCCGCAGGTTCGCTCGCGTTGAAGCCCTTAAATTAATATCTTTCCTTAATTTTTTTTTCCAATTAAAAGAAGCCTATGTCCTCAGGGTCTAGACTTTTGTGTACCAAATTTCATTTAAATCAGTTCAGTAGTTTTGGCGTGAAAGCGAGACAGATAGACAGAGTTACTTTCGCATTTATACTATTAATATGGATAGAGGACGACCCGATTGACGTGGTGGATAGTGCACTTGCATCTGCGAAATTGTCACTGTTGGTCCACGCGCCCAGTCAATGTAGTTAAAATTTATAACATAACACTTTCTAATCAGTATAAAGCAAGGATTCATGAAACCAACGCCTAGATAACTCGCAAAAAAGAAATTAATTATTTTCCCGCTGCATGTAATAATTTCTATCCTCCGCTGGTCGGAATATTGTTCCCGTTCTGGATCACAAAGAAGCACCTCTTTCTGTTCTCAGATTAAAAGTTTACAATAAAAAAAGACCGCACGAACGGGAGCGCCGCACAAAAGAGTTTTTGTTCTCCGGCACGACTACGAGAGTACGGGGATGAGAGATAAAAATCCGAAAGAACAAAACGTGGCTTTAAGTGCTTACGCTTAGCTGTAACGGATTAAGTTAGAATTAAGTTATGTTACTTACTCTAATCCCGATAACAAGCACGCGCCGAGTGGCTTGCTATTTCAAGTTAGAGTTATCGCTCCCTGCGTTTGTTTTTGTTGAATTCACCCGGTGGCGTTTTCGTGTGTGGGTCGTTGACTCGCTTTCTGAGGTCGCGGGGTTCAATCTAAGAGGCTTTATTTTATTTTCTTTATTTCGCCCTGTGGCCTTACCACAGTGAACATATCTTCAAATACTTTTAAATGTAAGTTTAATTCATATTACTTGGAAATGTACAGGTTTCTTCACGTTATCCTTTTTCACCGCTAAGTACATTCTTATCATGCGCTTACCGGTGTTCAAGTTGAAATTTATTTTACAAACTGCAATTAACAGTTATGACAATGCCTTATCTATGCCTCCAGAACAGAGCAGACCTTTGCCCAGCATTGGCATATAGATTGGTGTTCATATGGTATTTACACGTAAAAGTGCTGGCTAAAACAGGAAAATTCTACAGCCTGATCTAAAAGCATTCATACCTTTGCATTTCTTCTAATGAGAACAAAGCAAAGTTAGTCGTCCAAGAGAAAATGAGGTGACTTCAGTTGTTTTTGATAACTTTTCACATAAAAAAACGGCGGCAAGCAGGCGGTTCACATTATGTTAAATGAATACCTCAGCCCATGGACATCGAGAACACCCGATGGCTTGCTGATGCGGTGACAGCCCTAACAGTGGACCCCGGTTACTCCTCACTCACCAGACGAAACGCCGAAAGCTTAATCCTCCCATTTCACGCCGGTCTTCTGTGACGCCGCGGTACTTCCCCGGACGTGCCACGCATAACACTTATTATTAGCTATTAAATTATTAATTATAACATGGACATCTCAATAATGTTATACCTGCAACAGGCAAAAGCATCTTATCCTTTAAACGAGCAATTCTTATATACCTATATATATATATAATCGGAATCTCGGAAACGGCTCCAGCGATTTTCATGAAATTTAGTTTTATTTAATTTTCATGTGCGTAGATTCGGGGGCGAAAAATCGATCTAGCTAGGTATTATTTTTAGAAAATGTCCTTTTATCCCGGTGTTGTTATGTTTTCAGGGAATGAAAAATATCATTCGAATATGACGGTAAATTTCGCCGCAAAAAAAAAATGTTATAATAGCTCGGTCGGTAATCGGGCGGCCCCAAAACAGACGGCCGCGGTTCGTGTCACGATCATTTACACACTTATTTTTTAACTTTTTTTTCTATGTCAGATTAATTTTTTTAGTTTTTATTTCCAAAATACCTGATTTACCAAAGAAAAACTAACAAAGCTCGGTCCTTCAGATACTTTTCATATTATTCAATATCGTTTATTAGGAGAGCAAGTAACGCTGCAAAGAGTTGAACCAAAAGTATGTAAACCCAATAACATAAAAGGCAACGACTTTATTTATTCCTCGCATGGAAAAAAATCTTGAAAAAATTTTGATTGGAGCGAGAACTTATAATAACGACATCTATTGCCGAGCACGATGAACTATTATTTATTCATGTATGCAAGTATATACTGTAACTTAACTCCGTCACGCGACAAGGCCGATCCACCTCAATCGCTGACCGTCTCAAACTTTAACTAACTGCTAATAATAAATGTACACAACTTCCATATAATTGACACTTTATTGGGACCTGCTGCAAAGCATTTGAAGTCGGGAATTGAATTTTAAAATAAACGCAATAAATAGTGTCCTTTAATAGAGGTTTTATATCTTTTTATGCGGCCACCGATTAACATTGCTATATACATCGAGTAAAGGCATATCCGTCACTAGTTTTTTAAACAAATCATTAAGACGCCAAACTAATTATAAGCGCGGGAACGGACCGAGGCAACGGCAGGGTAGCCGCTGAGCCGCGCTATCTTCACCATTATCGTTACGCAGATGATAAATCACGTAAGCGAGACGGTACGCGAACAAACACGGGAAGGAACACAGAAACGCGACACGGCGGTCGACAGATGCTATCCTATTGGTTGCATTCCACGGTGACGACGTAAACAAAGCAAACGATACTTATCAAATAGTACTGAGCCTTATATCAACAACGGGTATTCGATTCTATTTATAGTACAAATTGAAGTACACAGGCCAAAATTGAATACACATAACTTTACTCTTCATCGCTTACCCAGGGAGCCCCCGGAGCGGCAGGCATGAGGGTGTCTGCCGCTCTATACGGAGCTCGTGAGGCGCTCAGCAACATATGACCAGACCGGGTACCCTATATCCCGGGGAGAGGTGGCCTGAGAAGGCAATGGGCGCGTCGAGTTCATGGGCCGCGAACATTACAAATCCTCAGGTTCTCGTCAGCCAACATAAAAAAAAATTGTGAATGAAATTCACAAAGTTTTTTAACAATTCTTAGTTAGTGTACTTGCTTAAGTCCTTGGGTTCGGTGACGGGGGTCTTTGGTTCAATACCCGAACGGGTAAAGTAACAAGTGTCCTTATTCCGCCTACGTGGAAGAAGTTGAAGACTGCCTGAATTGAAAATATACATAATATACATATTCCCATTGCAATGCAAAAAAATTAACCAGCGAGAACAATGAATGCGCAGAATATCTAAACACACAAGAAACCAGATCGCTTTTAAGACAAACCAAGACAGTTCAGAAATCTCGGAAAGTTGTAAAACTGTAACATTTTTACAACTTGTGAGTTAAATGTTTGAAAATGAAAATGAAAACAACTGAAAAGAACCTTGATTGAGTAACATCGAAGTTCTAAGTTGAAATATAAACAATATCGGAGAATTAGGATTTCCACTTTTTTTACGTGGGAAAAATACTTTATGGGCCCCTTGCCAAGATTGGGGGAGTGGCAGGGGTATGTGCGACTCTCGGTCAGAACTGGTAACCACTAAAAAAACCCACGTTACATCTGTCCCTGTCGTATCGACCGGGGAACACGATGACGCCGGAGCCCAATTTCCAAAAAGGTTGTCAACGCATCTGCAAACCCTCGGGTGAGGCAGATGTCTATGGGCGGCGGTATTTACTTAACATCAGGTGAACCGTCTGCTCGTTTGGCAACTTTTCACATAAAAAACGCCCGCCACATAAGGCCGCCACGAGCCATTTATTCCCACAGAAGTGTTGCCCACAAGTGGGATTCGTTATATCTCAGTGTTCGGGTGCTCGCTCTTCAATTGTTGATAGTTGACGTCACGGCACCGATGAAATTGTTAACAGCAATTTTAAGTGCTGGCTTTACTACGTGCCCAGCGGTGAAAGCAAACATCGTGACCCCGTGCGTATTAATGATATAATAATTTATAAAAATATTGCGTAGATTTGTGAAGTCCGCCATTTTGCGGTGGGTGGGATATACATAGACTGTGACCACGAATTAGTAAATAACGTTATTTTACTAGTTCGTAGCTGTCACTTTACTCTTTAAAGGTAACTTTTCCATATATCTTCGTGGTGGTCCACGGAAATACGTTATGTAATGCAGTTGGTTCGTTCGATATATTTATTAATTATTTTTAAATTGGTGATTTTTTATGTAATAAAACAAGTTTTTAATACGTATATAAATTCCTTAGGTCTTACCGTCGCTGCAAAAAAACAGTAAGTCTCAGTGAAAACATATTAGAATACATATTATTATATTCAACGACCTTTGAATGGGAGTTGTCATCGTAAACTAATATGTTATGTGCTATGTTTCCGTTTTGTGTATTTATTTTTTTACCAAGGCAGATGAGGAGGCGCCTGTCAATATATCTTGTTTTTAATTTTAAATCTAATCGAACTTGGAAATGATGTCTTTAGCAACTCGATCAGATTTGAAATTATAATAACACATCTTATTCAGTCCCCCCTGCGTTTGGCATAATAAAATAATAAAAAATATGCGCTCCGCAGTGAACCGCGTCGTATAACGTTATAACAAGATAACGCATTAGTAGCATTAACAAAAAAAATAAAAAGCACTTTATCCGTGTACTCAGCTGGTGTTTTTTACGCATCGGTACAGTACAAAAAATTACAATATGATAATTATCTACTGAAGTAAAGTCTTCAACCAATGTGGGTTGCAGTGATGACATACGGAACTGAGACGCAGTAGAGGGAGCGACGACATGTGGAAGTGTGCGGGAAGTCGATGGATGCAGGTGGCTCAGGATCGTGCTTCGTGGCAGTCTGTGGGGGAGGCCTATGTTCAGCAGTGGCCTCAAACAGGCTGAAATTATGATGATGATGAAGTAAAGACTAAAACAGCTAATATCTTTGGGAGTAGTCATAACATTGCACACGAGTATTCCTTAAACAACGTATCGCGAAGTGAGAGGATATTTTGACCGTTCATCTTATCATTATACTATGGTTGAATGGTGAATGTAACAATCTCATCGAACACACGGTCAGTGTGTCCATAAAAACCAATATCTGGAACGTCGTCGCCGTGTGTAGCGGGGTCGAATGTCGGATTCCAGAGCACGGGCCCAAGTAATGCGCGATGACTCAACTGTAACGCCACTCTTCCGGGCCTTCGGACGCCCCTATGAATGGACTTTGTTTCGTTCATAATTAATTGAGAATGAGAATAAGGTGCCCCAGTTTACGTTTAGTCACTATGACTACATAGTATAAAATAAGGTTGTCCCGCTGTCTGTCTGTCTGTCCCTATGTATGCTTAGATCTTTAAAACTAAGCGACGGATCTTGATGCGCTTTTTTATACTAGTATAAAAGGTTCAGGAGGAAGGTTTATATGTATAATACATTGCACCCATGCGAAGTCGGGGCGGGTTGCTAGTACGAAATAAAACTATTCTCAATGAGGCGTACGCTTCATATATATTGCCTTAAGCGCTGATTTCAAGGATGAGCTGCTTAATAAAAGCCATTTCATGTCCCTGAGTGGCACTTCCATAAAAGCTAATTGCATTTAAAATTAATAAAATGTATAGAACATATTGGTAATACAGAGGGGAGGTCAATGTAAATGGCATAAAAGGATGAATGAAAACACTTTCACATTTAAACATAGAAAAACATATGAATTACATATTTATAAACATATCCACAACAGATATTTTTGATACACCCATAACCCATCCTACAGGCAATGGCTTTAAAAGATATGGGGTGATTGCCTGAAAAGGAAAAAGTTGGCCTGAAACCATACCAGACTATCTTTGTGCATGCATATATCTATATCATACTAGTTCAGGGTCTATCATGCTCATGGAAACCCACCTTACGGGTTCTGCCACTGAAAAAGCTTTATACTGGAATATAAAGCTTTATACTGGAGTATAAAGCTTCCTGGAGGCAATCATCCTTAACAGCAATGTTAAATTAAATAAATATTTGCCAAGTATTTACCATAATTACATGATTAATGTTTGTTGTTTCTACAAAACGATCTCATTACCATTACAATTTCAAATGTTTATGACATGTTTGTTAAAATTAAAATCATTAACTAAAGTATACAAGAATTAAAACAAATAACTTTGGTCTGATAGAATAGACAATAGACTGTCTATAGACAAGATTTGTTGACAAGAATAAATTCTAATTTTAAACCAAAACAAACTAAAAGGATTTAGTGATTAAAATCTTGTTACCTTACTAAAATATAACAATAAGAATGACTTGCGCACAAAGAGTTCCATACCATTGTCTATAAAAACGGCAAAAAAATTATGTCTGTTGTATGGGAGCCCAACTTATTTTTTTATTCTGACTTTTAGTACTTTTTGTATTAACGGCAACGGAAATAAATCATCTGTGTAAATTATACTGTCTAACTATCACAGCTCCTAAGATACGGCCTGGTGACAGATAGACAGAGCGCAATCTTAGTAATAGGGTCTCATTTTACCCCTTGGGTATGGAACCCTAAAAAAGATTTTCAGAATCAAATTGTACACCAATAAATAACCACAAACGAAACAGCTATATCGATTATTAGATACATCTACAAAATTTCTCAGCAAATAATTTTTGTCTATATCTCATTGTTAATCAAAAATAACATTTCTAAAGATACAAAGCAATTTAATAATATGTGGATATATTAACAAAATTCTACATTAACAAAGAAGCTAATTTTGATTTTGTTACTGTAAAAATATTTAAATTAAATGGGACATTATTATTATAAAAGAAAACTAATGAAAGAAAAATAATTTGAAAGTTTTAACAAAAGGTGTACAAACTCTCAGACTAAAAACAAATTATGTACTTGTAATATTATTCAGTGTATAAAACAGTACCAAATGAAACTTTACTGATGTTTGAAACAATTAAATTTACTGATAAGATAAATTTTGAATTATACTTTAAATGTTTAAGGTTAATAACTGTAGGTGGAAATTTATCTTCTGAACTTTATTTATTTTTTATTCACAACATTTGAACAAACAAATATTTTTATTAATGCTCAGATATTTAAAATTTGTAGCACATCATCATATCTATTTAAAAAAAATATAGACTGGAATCTTTACTAATTTTATCCTTACAATCCTTACTAATATTTAAAGGCAAAAGTTTGTATGTATGGATGGATGTTTGTTACTCTTTCACACTAAAACTACTGAAAGGATTTTAATAAAACTTTGTATACCGTTATAAAAAACTCATTGTTAATTTCCTTGGACTGCGCGGGCGAAGCCGCGTTTAACATCTAGTATGTTGTAAGAATACAAGATTTATATTATTATTTTTAATAAAGCAAAAGTATTTGATTAAAGGAATTCATATACGACATGATATATATGATAAGTGAATAAAGCATTTAAAAGACATTTACATGCAGCAACAACGTCATTAACTAAACCGACAATTGAACCGGCAAGTTTCGCCGGTTCTATAAACTATATTGGAAAGAAAATAAACGGAATTAAAATAAAATCACATTTTATTAAGATGGGCTGAAATAAAGATCTACCAAAATGTAATGTCTAATACATGCTGAGCCATTTAGACTCGAGTAACGAAAATAATTTCGGCTTAAACAAGCAAAAGTTATCCAACAAACCTACCTTGGAATACAGTTGGAAGGCGTCCTGTCTACTTCCCAGGCGGCAAAAAGTTTCATGGGAACAGGTTTCGATGCGTTAGTCATCTTTTCGGATTTATTTTTCTCCGTCATTTTAAATCGGCACAAAACAACTTACACCAGGTACAACTTTCACAGCACGGAACTAAGTGATGATTTTAACTTGCATTGTTATTTAATCACTAAACATACCACTGTAATCATTTTTATAATGCCACTACACGAGAACAAAACCGACCCGGAGGTAAATATACCGATACTCAGTGCACATCCGAAGCGCGCTAAGATTATGGACTACGATATGAATAAACAGGGCGTTCGATACATTTGACACCTGGCAAATAGTCTTGCCATACTACTTTTCAACGGACAGACTTTAAAATGTGATTTCTACTAATAATGTCAACTTTGATTTATATGAGTTTTATAATAACTATATAATATTTTCAATTACAAAAAAATTGTATTGCAAACTTTTAAAACTAGATAAAATATAATCACAAACTATAATTAGGTTTAAAACAATACTTGCACTACTAGTTACGATCTTATTTCTGGAACAACTAAATTCATTACTTTTTAATGTAAAAGGGAGCAAACGGGCAAGCGGGTTATCTGCTGATGAGCGGTCAACACCGACCATGAATATTCGCAACACCGACATGCTGCAAATGTCCATGAGTCAGTAATCATAAATGCGTTGCTTGTTCTTGAGGTAGCAATAGGCTCACTTCTTGAAGATCTCTTTAAATATACCGATCTGGAAATAACGGTAACAACAACTGATTCGACAAAGGAGTCGTTAGTGACATGTATTAATTCAGGAAAAAGTACGGTAGTGGATTTTTTCTTGTTCTTAATCGGACACTCTTGGCAGAGTGGTCGTGGCTGTCGATGGACAGGATTGCGTCTCGTCGTCGCTGTTCGCTTCCAGGGCAGCCGCACGTCTTGCGATGTTCCTCCATTGGAGGCGGCTGTTAGCAATACGAGCACATTGTACTGCGGTGGCTTTCGTAGTGCTGGTGATGAGGTCAATCCAGCGCGTGGGGGCTCGACCTCGAGGTCTTTTGCCTTCTACACGGCCTTGAATGACAAGTCTTTCCATAGAATCTTCCTTTCTAGAGATGTGCCCAAAGAACTTGAGAATTCGTAGTTGGACAGTCGACGAAAGTCTATTTTGTATATGAAGTTCTTTGAGGATGGAAATATTTGTCCGAAACGCTGTCCACGGAATTTTCAACAGTCGTGGATTGCCAGCCATTAAAATGGTATCGATGGAATTGTGTGTTTTTTTACGTTTTACCTACCGTAGTGAGCCGTTAGAGTAGAATTATAATTAAAATAGAAAATTAAAAGATACGCAACGCCCCTTCATATGACATAAGGGGAAAGGCAATCGGTAAAGACCAGATCCGCAACAATTCGAACAGGTCTTCGTTGGATACGATCAAACGGAAAGACCTGGTGTTTTAGTGTCACAGCCCAGAGATATGAATTATTATTTCATGTGCGTAAGAATTTGCGTTTTATAGAGCTTAAGGCGATAGGTCGACAGAAAATACCAGTTTAGTTCTTCTCTGTATCTGTATCAAAATATCAATCTTAAGGACAGAACTTGTAAAACTCATTGGAGTTTCTTACTGAAATTACACATTTGAAGATTGGAAATTGAAAAAACTATTAATTAAAAAGTGGTTAATATATATGTTATTTACAATGGCGATTCAAATAAGAATAGGATTGTCCTCGCGCCATCTTGTAACGTCATACCTGACAATTCAAACCAGTTAGTAGGGTGAGCAAAACAGATATTTTTGAAATAGTATTCATTGATATATTTTGTACTTAATTAAGAAAAATTATAAGATAACAAAACAGAAGAGTTTATTGGCGGTTTTTTTTCAGACAGGTCTAGCTTAGTGTATAGATTTATGACGTTTAGAGCTTAAGAATTTAAGAGCTTAATCAGAGCATATAAATAAATAAATTTTGACTTTGGCTTTAATTTTTGTATTTAAGTCATGAAAGAAAAATTTTAATCAGAACCTTGCCCTTCAATTCCGGTCATTTCTTCATCACTGTCTAAGTTGTCATTCTCTATAAAAATAGAAAATCTAGATATTTATTACCTTTGTTAATAATGTAACTAATAATATTGTACATAGTATAAAACAAAGTGATAGTAAATATCCCCGGATACGGATATCCGGAATATCACTAGTTGGTAGCAATATAAAATATCGCAATTACTCAAACCTGTTACAATTTTCATCTTATTATTTTGTAACTGTTACTATTACTTTGGGATAAAAAATTCTCCCACACGGTATTGTGTCCGGAATCGTAGTTACTAGGGATAATTTTTAATTTCACATCTCATCGCCACTATAACGACCTCCTAATGCAGGCATTACCCTCATAGCACCAACATATACCTCCCCATCCCTTAGATTATTCAATGACTTATAGGTTGTTGAATGAGATTCATAGTTAAAGGCTGGAGTAATATTTTCTTAAAATAAATAAAAGTATTTCATAATATTTATTTTACTTTAAAACAAAATATAAAAGTGTATAATAGATTTACATAGTTATGTCAAACATAATAAAAATTATTACCTACTACTGTATAAATCGTACATATAATGGAATGGCACAATTAAAAAAATGTTTTAAAAGCATACAACATCATAGAAAATTATAACAATTAATTAAATGTCTAACCTGAAACCTTTTAAATAAGCTATCACATAAATGGTATTTTCAGACTAGACCAGATTAAATATTGTGCACTGAAAGAATAAAGTCTTTGATATGAAATTAATTATAAAATTACAATTGAATCTTAAAGAAAGTATAATCATAAAAAGATAGACATAGATCTCAAAAATATATCTTATAGAAGAACATTTAAAAAAAATATACTAACTAGTCAATGTTTAGTCTTTTTTACTAGTCTGAATTGAACTATATTGAAGTTTCTGAAAGGATTATTATAATTACAGGTAAAACCAAGTTATAATATGAGTATAATATAATACAAGTATGAGTATCATTAAATCATTCGGAAAATTCTGATCTTGATTATGTTTCAAAAATAAGTAGCTAAAAAGTTTATTGCTATTGGATGCAAAAGAAATGCAAGTTTTGAAAGTGTTACTCAATTAATGTTTTATGTTATTTCATTTCAGCTCTGTGCTCGAGAAATTTGTCGCAATTCGTTCTGAGCTTTCCGGTTTCCTTTTGACATTGGATATTTGTCGACTATCCTTTCATGGCTGTAATATCTGGGTAAAATAGTTCTGGAGACTTCCGTAAGTTCACTTGGCGACCTCGGGCGGGCAGTCGGGTTGTGATGACGGATGAGCTGCACGGAACGCCGGATGATTTTCTAGTTCACGGTCAATGCGAAGTATGATTGGGAATGGACGCAGATCGACATGGAATCTAAAAATATGTAATAAAAAAATTGACAAAAGAAACCATATATTATATTATACAGCGTGTCTTTACCATCGCGACAATAAATGAACACACATATATTAAACTTATAACTTGTTAAAATTGTATTAAAATTTACATTCTTTAAACATCAATATTTAACGAGTTATCAAATTTTCCAAAGAAAGAACACCCTTACGTTTAAAACTTTAATGTAAAGTTCATTTGTCAAGGTCACAAAGCATATGAATGGGTTGAATGAATTTAAAAGAGATAAATCATACTGTTAGAAGGAGAGGCTTGTAATGCGGCGCTGTGGCAACGAATGAAAAATTCTCTGAACGTATGAATCAGTCTAGATGTAGTTGTATAGAATGCTACAAATTTTGTTTCTTTTTTACTTAATTAGTTTGTTTGAACAATATTTTTTTTAATTATGGATTTTTTTAACGTTATTTATTATTATATTTTTTTATGATTATTGGCAAGTAGCGTTAGACGTGTGTTCATTTATTGTCGCGGTGGTAAATACACGCTGTATATGAAAATCAATATAGCATCCAATTTATACCTATGTCGGATTGAATGTTCTGTTTAATTAAGAATTTCCAACAAAAAGTATCTATGAACATTTATTTGAACTTGTTACTTTACATTTTGTCTAGTTGTAAAGTAAAAGGAGCCAAATTAATTCACTAGCAAGGTATGAATTTATCTTTACCTTCTTGCATTAAACACTTGTGGCACCAAGCAGCAGTCAGCCAAGGTGATTTCGTCACCAACGCAGTATTTTCCGGCAGATGCGGAGAGGAGTTTCTCCACAGCGCGAAAGCCGCGCATTATCCAATGCTGCGCCCATTCTTTCTTTTTCTCTTCCCCCACGTAAATAAGTACTATCAGGTTCTGTAGAGGTTGGATGCCAGATGATATCACCTGGAATGGTAGGACATTACAAATTAAAGAAAATATTATTTTTCATCACAACTACAACCTTCAAGTGGTCCTCAACATTTGTCTCCTTCAAACTGCTATAAAACAAATTTATAAATATTTTGCATGCAAGAATCAAGATTACATAGAGAAATAATTTCGATATCAAACTGTTACACCATTTATTCATATTAGAAATTTTAAGACTTATGGAGCAAGTGTGACATGCTTAATGCAATTTTTATATGAGAAGGTGGCTAGCAAGCAGACAGTTTCACTGTGAATGTGGTAATCATTACTGTCGCTCATGGCCAACATCAACATTTGTGTGCCATGTCCCATCTGGCAAAATTCTGCATCATTTTAAAAATAGGTGCCAGTTACCTCAGTCACTAAACAAAATGCAAAAGTAAAACTACTTCCACTTTAAATTGGTCATCTGGGCGACTGTGATACTTTTTAGATGTGCCTGCAGACTTATGCAGAGTCTGCTGAGATCATAAGATGAGATAAGATTGTACCCTACCTCACAAATTTCCCGCACTTTTGCTCTCTTGAAACAGTCTTGTGGCATTAATGGTCTTTGTGGTCGTGTCTCCTCTAGATAGTGCATGATAGTTAAAGATTCTATTATTGTATGGCCATCTGGAATAAAACATAAAAATTACAAATGGTTAATCAACTTTCTCCATGTAATTTTAAAATGATGAAGCAAATATAAAAAGATTAGGAAAGAAGATAAATAGCAATAATTTTCTGTTTTAAACTTCAAAAATAGATCAATTATAAGTTAGAATATCAATTGCTTCAACATTAATTATAATATTTTAACTTAAAATTTTTTGACTAGTGTTCTGAACGGACTATATTTAAATTTATCAAAGATCAAAGGTATTCTGAGGGCAGTTCCTCTAGCATTTTTAAATCTAGGAATCCCTGTGTCAAATTTGTGCTCTATCTACTGCAACAGAATGTGGTAAATGTCAATAGATTTACATACCAATTCCTGTCACCACATTATTTCCAAGAGCAAGGCTAAAGCAATACATTTTGACTGCCACAATATCATCATACAACAACAATTTAGTGTCAGGGAATTTTGTAGTTAATTGTGAACTCCGGTATTATTTTTTGTATTTGAGGAAGTTTTCTAAAATTGATATTGTGAGAAATTGATAAACAAAACAAAGGCAATATGTTTAAAGATAAGGCGATATAGTGAACTCCTCTGATTTATTTTAACTATGTAATAAGAACTTTTCCTTTTGAGTTCAGTGTGTGCATTTAATAACCATATTTGGTATATGTGAGACAAAAATGGTTGGAAACTTACCAATACATAATGATGGTACTTGTTCCATTGGATTGACTTCCCTGTATTCATTGCAATGTTGTTCCCCACCACCCTTGATGAGACTGACAGCTTTGATGTCATATGGAATCTCTTTAAGATTGAGAGCAATTCTTACTCTCCATGAGCAAGAGCTCCGCCAGTATGAGTATAATACTGGCTAAAAATAAAACATTTAAAATAGTGATAAACATAACATTAGTCAATATCAATTAAATTAATTGTATAATGTTTACAAAATAAAAACTACTACGCTAAACTATAATAATTGATTTTATCATATAATACAAGCAAAATTAACATACATATCATGCTGGCTGGCTCATAAATGTAATATACACAAAAATCAGACCAATGGATGACCATGTTCTGTAAATGCATAAATACTTAATAATATTTTACCAGAAAGTTTGCTGTAAGAGATTCTAAAAGATTTATCTAGGAAAATTAATAATAATTTACTAAATACCAAAAAAATGTTAAATTTATTATAATACATATACATCTATTTAATCTAAATTAAACATTCCGCTACATTACCAATTTCTATCTTAATAATTAAAAGCCATGATATGCAATTATTATATGAGGCTCCATAAGTGCTGTTCATTAGCTCTAATAATAACCAAATAGTTTAATGTTTTTCCAGAATTTAAGGCCATTAATTTTACTTTGTGACAAAAAACATCTATGAGTATTTTTGAATATTCATTTATAAACAAATTTGTTAAGCTACATACAAAAGAAGTCAATTCGACAAGTGCAACATTTCTATTATGTTAAAATTATCAAGTAAATATATTTTTAAGTCAACATTTTATAAATAATACACTGCTTCTGCTAGGTATACCTTTTGTTCATTATCTCCACTCATGGTTGATATTTAAAAAATATAAAATGATTTAAAGTAGCACCTCTTTACAAACTACAAATGAAGTAAGCAACTGCCTACATAGACTCCACTGATAACACGTTTCTAGTTTCTTGTTAATCCAGTATGTAAATAATCTTAACGAATGAGATAGGTACAAACAACAAGTTGCTACACGCTTACCTTAGCCATAGCGAAAATATTTCCGTTGTATTTTGGGTACAAAGAAATTTTGACGGCGTATAATACGCTATAAAATATAAATCTTCTTCAATGTATCGTAGAAAACTACGATTCTTATGTATTTGGATAAAATTGTATACTTAATGAGTATTATTTGCCAATAATCTCTTATTATGTGCGAAAAATATATTTAAAGTTGTATACAAATTAAAATGTAACCCATTTCTTGCCTATGAAGATGTTCGTTTTTGAAACTGGAAACTGAATACAATAATGATCTGTAGATGCCGGCTAAAGTTCGCTGAAACTGAAAAGCACAGAGCAAACAACTGAAATGTAAGGCCAAGGCGTTTCTGAAACTGAAGTGTCCTTGAAACATGACGTTTGGTTGAATGAACGAAAACAACAGGAAAAGAAACTCATTCATTGAATTTAAATTTTGAGTGTATAAAAATGGATTCAATTCATATTTTATCTATAATATCTATATAAAGAGGTATTTTTTTCAAACATAAAATATAAAACTCACTGTGTGCTAAAAAATATATGTTATTTGCAAAAATGCTCAGTTTTTACGCTATTATTATTAATTAGCTAGCATTAACAATAAAGTTTATAAGATAAAGTTACAGTAATATTATCGAAAGTGTGAAATAAAATCTAAGTTAAGTCGCGGTACTCGGTTAACTAATTAACTGTCTATTGCAAAAGCAGTTATAGTTTTTTTATTTGAATAAATATTTTATTCTTATTTAGAATTTAAATTCTAGAAAACGTATGTACAACTAACGCGCTTAAAATTCGATTTATATTTTTATAATGTGATATACAAAATAATAGCAATTGAGATGGACTACGAAGTAGTTTCGACCTTTTTTTGTAATAACACAGCGAAATGTGATAGCAAGAACACGAATGATAAAATGTTATGTGATCAATTCCTTGATTTAATTGATGATCTCAATAATAAACTTGAAACATTAAAACTGCCTTCAGCTATAAAATGCGTTTATAATCCCACAATATACGCTAGGCATACTTTCGAAATGTACGTGCGAAAGTATTGTAATAATATGAAACCAATCATTTATTTTGGTATGAACCCAGGTCCTTTTGGAATGTCACAAACTGGAGTAAGTACTTTAAATGTTTCTCTTTAATATAGACTTTTTGAAAAAAAAAATTAATTTCATATTATGCATTTCAAACAAAAAAAATAATCCCTGAAATAAGTATATTTAATTTTTGTACTATTTTTATTTTAATATTTTAACATCTCGGATGGCTAATTAAGATAAAAAATATCTGCTAAATCATTTCGATTTCAATTGCATTACCAATCATAAGAAACCTGGTTACCTCAATAACCAGAAAAAAATGCTGAAGTATTTTTTTGAATTATATTTCCACTTCATGTTGGTCTTCTGCGAGGCCCCAGAAGTTTGCTGGAAGATCCTGCTCATTTGTGCAAACACTATTGTGGTAGGTTAGAGCCCGCTTTACCGAGTGTATTATGAGGTTAGTCTCTATTGTTGTAGTCTATTACTGACTATTGCTTCTCAGTACATACTTGAAAATGTTATGCATCTCCATAAAAACAAAAATGAATTTTCAAGACTTGCGAATGTGCATGATATAAATCCTAGGAACAAACATATATTAATTCTACCTAAAACTAGACTGATGAACTGGAATGTTTGTGTGTTAAAGGCTATTATACAATGTTAGTGATTATTTAAATGATAACACACCCTGGAAATGAAATGATAGCTCCAGGCTCTTTCAAGTTGACTTTAATACGTATGTAAACATGTCTTTATTTGATAAATAATGGTATAAAAAAAAAGAGTTTAGTTTCTTTCGCCGGTTCTTCTCAGGTCAGTGGCTTATCTTTCCAAATCAGTGGTAGCGTTTTGACCATCAATAAGTAAGTGTAATGCTTCTATATTGAATAAAAGTATTTGATTATGATTTTGATTTTACACTGAATAGTCAATGTTAAGTAGCTACTAAAGTAACGTCTTGGCCTGGCAAAAGAAACACAAAAAATTCTTGTGTGAATTTTATATTAATTGGCAGCTAACATTGGATGAGATCTTGTACATTAATTTTGCTGCTGTATTAACATTGTCACATAATTAAAATAGGTACCTTTTGGTGAGGTGAGCTCTGTGAGAGATTGGTTGGGCATAGAAGGACCAGTGGGCAGACCTCCCATAGAAATAGACACAAGGCCCATAAGAGGCTTTGATTGCACAAGAACAGAGGTAATAACTATTCCAAATAATTCAAAGTAACGTTTATTTATTTCCAAAAAAGGGTTTTTTTCAATTACCTAGTACCCAAGTTTTACTTAGTTTGGGACTAGAAAATGTTGTGCACAACTTGTGTACAAATAAGCCTATAGGTAAATATTTATTTTTTGACCACATACTTGACCTGCCCTAATTAATTATTACAGGCCCAGGTAATAGTAACAATTGCGGTTTTACTTACAACTTCAGACGCTATCGGATTAACCGCGGGAAAAATGATCAAACTGTTTCACTTTATAAAATAGCATTAAAAACTTTATAAAATATTTTTTTATTTATACTTTTTAATTATACATGTTAACAATAATTTGTTTCGGATTTACACCAAAACACTTATTTTATTTGGTTTTGTATAGATAAGCGGAAAAAGGTTTTGGGGCTTGCTTAAAGACGTATGCGGTATCCCGGAAAAATTTTTCGAAACCAGCTTCGTTTATAACTACTTGAATCAGCAGTGGATGAAGAGCAACGGTTGCAATCTCACCCCTGGAGATTTCAAAGTAAATACCGTTTTATTATTTACGTTGTAACTGGAATACATATTTAAATAATATATACACTCAACCTACTTTTCATCCATTTTTTAATGTAAAATGAAAATTAGTATGCTTTAAAAAATACATTGCAAAGCCGTTATCTCTAGTTTTCAAATATTTCATTGTAAAATGTTATTTAAAAAAGTCAAGTCGTTTGCAGTCAAGAAAACACACATAACACAAAACATTGCTTAAAAATATTAAAAAAAAAAACAGATAAGTAGATAAAATATGTTGAGATTTTTGTCGTTGTGAAGATAAGCCGTTTAGCGCAATGGGTAAAGCGTATCCAGGTCCAATCAATCAACCCTTGCAGGGTCGAAAAATTTTCGTCTCATCCTCATCATCATTTCAGCCTGTTTGAGTCCACTGGCGAACATAGGCCTCCCCCATAGACTGCCACGTAGTAAAATCCTGAGCCACTTGCATCGAACGACTTCCAGCACATTTGCTGTCACAGGTCGTCACTCTGTCTGGTGGGGGGTCATTTTCGTCTAATATATATTATACCATGTAATTTTATATGTACATTATTCAGAAATTATTTGGGGTCGGATTCGGATTGCCCGATCGATCGGATTGAGGAGGGTATTGTATGTAGGTACCATAACATTCGTCTCAGTTCTGGGATTGATATAGGGTATATTATTTGCATGTGGATGACGCCAAAAACTAACAGAGAAATAGTTAAGTAATAATTTTAGTAGCAGCGACTGTAGACGTCCCGCTGACAGAGCGCCAAGAATGAAAGAACATTTGCGCATGTGGATTACATTTACAGTTTACACCCATTCCCTATACATTAGGAGGATCTATAGATTAAGAAAACTTAAGTTGACTAGCTCACATATTGCATTATCTATACTTTATGACTTGTCCGTTTTCTTGAAGACGTCACGTAGTCTTAACGATTCTTCAGTCGAGTTACATCGCAAGCGAATTAAAACTCAGGACTCAGTCATCTCGTCAATTTAAATTTTAGCTTACCAAGGCATAGATAGACGAAGTAACTTAAATCTTCCAGAATGTAATTTTCACTTGCAGAAGTCCGAAATGAAAGCTCTTTACGACATCTGCGATCCCACCTTCGTGAGGGTTCTAGAGCTTTACCAAGTTCAGACGGTTGTCGCGATTGGGAAGTTCTGCGAGGACAGAGCGCGTAAGGCGATCGAGGAGTATTTACCTGCCAAATCGAAGAGCATTAAGGTACGATACGTAGCGCTAAGATACACTATTTCGTATATATTCTGTGGTAAGACTGATTCTGATATGCACGAATGGGTAGGCTCGTCCGGCGAAGTACCACCTCCTCACAGAAAGCCGGCGTTAAGTGACAACTTTTCACAAAAAAAGATGCTGGTTTTTCTTGTCGTTTCATGTCCGGACGTCCAGTCTATCTAAAGCTTCAAGAGTTAGACCTCGTGTAAAGGCTAAGTCTAAGGAAAAGACGGTGACATAGGCGGTCGTCGATTATAATTCGCGGTGAGAGCTGTCCCAGCGTGTTGGTCTCACTATCCTCGTAAGCGAAAACAATTTTGACAGTTTATTTTAATGTGAAAAGTTGTCAAGCGATTTCGAAGCGGTTTACCTGATGTTGAGTGAATACCGCCTCCCTATGGACACCTATAACAACGGAGGGCTTGCAGATGCGTTGGCAACCTATTATTTGATACCTTACTGAGTCACATCCTTTCGTTAGGTGCTGTACCTGCCGCACCCAAGTCCGCGCACCGTCAACAACAACGACTGGGACAAGAAGGCGATTGAGTACCTGAGCAAGTATGATCTGTTGAAGTATTACCAAGACCAGTGATTTTATACGTAATGTATCTAGTTGATATGTGATCGCATATAAGCGATGAGTTAGTTGTCGTACATTTCAAAGTTTTATCACTTTATAGAATATTTGATCTAGCGGACGCAAGCTCCTACATTTTTTTTTTCGTTTCGATCAGTTGATCTTCTTGGTGGAGAAAAACGAGTAACGCGGAGGGACGGATGCCGCATAAGGGATCTCAAGGGACCTAGTATTGATATAACTTAAACAGGTCTGTCATTTCCCCGGTTTCACAAATATTCAAAAGACAGTTCGAAGACATTTCTAAATTGATTATAATCCGTTTAATTTGGCGTTTCAGTTTATTTTGGCCTTTCCCGTCAGCACATTAAACTCCGCGTACGCTTGGTCTCGCATTTTCTTTTTTAGACATTTTGTCCACAAAACAAATGAGTTACATCCCATATTCAATATGGTAAAAATTTCATAGCTGTAGCCTTTACAGGCTAGTTCAATAACTGTACAGCTCCAATAGAAAACTAAATAATCGAAATATATGAATCGTTTTAATTTGTTAAACATTTCCAATGACAAAAGTATTTGAATGATAAAATTTTGGGACATGATTGTTATCAGTAGTAGACAAACAAATGTCTAAGATCCATTTAAGCAGGTTACACTGTATATGTGAAGTTTGCATTCCGTGTTTATATTATTTTATATATTTTACAATGTAAAAGTATATTAATGTAATGTTTAAGTATGGTAAAAATATGTAAGAAAAGTATACTTTTGTACTTTTATATTGTTTTAATGAAAGACAAGATTTTCCTCTCGTGTCCAACCGTAATAGTTTTTAAGTTCATTAATTAATTCATTTAGTCGTATGACTTTCAGGGAGCTGTTTAAATTTCTTAAACTACATTAGAATGTTTGATAATGGGAAAGTGATATTATAATTTTTACTGTGATTGATTCGAATTATTTATTTTTAATAATAAATGATTAATTTTACGACGGTGTTTTTTTTTCACATTACTCGCCTAATCTAATTAATTAAATAATATCCTAAATTCACGAACTATTTTCGTGTTCAGCTGCTGCCTTTGTTTTGCGTTTTAATACTCCAGGTAGGTACATGTGACACTAGCCCAACGAAACTGTGGTACTCTAATTACGCCCTGAAATTGTCTTCCAAAGTTCTGATAATTAAGAAGATCATTCTGTTCAATTCAGAGAGTTTAACCATCATTTTGGCAACTTAAATAACAGTACCCGGAGGACCGAGCTTTGCTCGGTTTTTTTTTGGTAAATCGTGTATTTTGGAAATTACATTTAGATACAAATTACTGAGAAATGAAATAGCATAATATTTTTCGATCTTACCGACGTAATAATAAGAAAATATGAACTGATGTTTTTCACAAAAGAAAGAACTTTAAAAAAAAGGGAAAAAAATAACAAAATAACAAATCGACAAAAAATTAAAAATAAAGCAATGATCTGAAATCGAAAAAAAAGTAAAAAAATATATGTGTAAATGATCGTGACGCGAACCACGGCCGTCTGTTTTGGGGCCCCCCGATTACCGACCAAACTATTATGACATTTTCTCTTGCGGCGAAATTTACCGTCATATTCGAATTATATTTTTCATTCCCTGAAAACAGGGATAAGAAAAAGGACATTTTCTAAAAATGAAACCTAGCTAGATTGATTTTTCGCCCCCGAATCTACGCACATACTAAATTTCATGAAAATCGCTGGAGCCGTTTCCGAGATTCCGATTATATATATATATATATATATAAATATACAAGAATTGCTCGTTTCAAGGATAAGATTTGACAGTTGATAACTAATCAACTTCTACGATGATCGGTGTTTCAGAAACCGGGCGTTAGATTTTCAAATAAAAAAGAAACATCAACATCAGTTCACCCAGTCCAAAGTTCTGAGGTAAAAAACACATAGATCTCGGTATAACACGAAACTTACATCTGCGATCAAGCTTTTATTTCAATTATAGCTTTGTTAGTACCTAGTTAAATACGGAATAAATAGTCCTTTTTGCTATTTTAAGCGCTGCCTGCATGTAAATGATTTTTGCGATTTATGGAACGAAACAACATCAACTGTAATGACAGCTGACAAAAATTGACACATTTTAGTTTCCCTATACACCAAAGTACTCTGTGGTTTGTCATAACCTAAACTAAAAATAACCTATAACTATATTTTACAAATTATTTATTATACTATTTAGTATAAAAAGATTTATATTACATAAAAATGGGCAAAAAAGATAAAAAAGGTCCTAAGGCAAATGTGTTTAAAGTTGCAGGGGCTAAAAGTTTGAAAAAATCTAAGGCTAAGGCGGTAAATTTAGGTTTAAAAAATGTATGTTTATAAAGATCGACTTAATTAATACTCAGTTTCTTAAATTTGTTATTGTAGTACTTTTTAGTTAATTTTTACTAAACGTTTTAGATTAAACAAAAAATTGGTGAAATCGATAAACAATTCTTGGAAATTAAGAAAAACACTGATGCCAATCAATCTAAACCGAAATCTAAAGTTCAAGCACCACAAAAACGCACAGAAAAGAATGTAACTAAAGAAGAAGTATTGAAAACTGCTGAAGAAATTGTAAAAATGGATTTATAGGTTAAGATAAAATAAATATATCTGTTAGTTTATTATTCTCTTTTTTGCAACCATGCACTTCACAGATTCTAGATTATTATAATATATTGAAGTATTAGTATTTTACCTGTTTCATAATTTTTATTGTGAACCTGTTAAGCTTTTAATTTTATTGAGTTTAAAATGAAAACAAAAATTACTTTTCCTTTTCAGTTATTTATTTGATGACTCCGTGATGCAGTTGCCAATATATTGGCTTAAGTGTCGGGGGTCTTGGGTTGGATCATATAGTTGTTGTATCACAGATAGTTGTTTCGCATCTGAGTGTTTGTCCATGTGAAATTTATGTTTGTAAAATATCCTTAAAACACAGGATAATGTTATGTTAAAGTAAGGGCATTTTTTTTTTTCAAAAAAATATGTTATGAGTATGTAATAGTGAGTTTCAAAGCAAGTAAAGAAAGAGGAGCGGTCGCTCAAAGTGCCAGGGAGCAAACGGCACTAGAATCAAAGGCAATTTTCACATAAAATAAAATTTTGATGGTGTCATTTTTAAAAGAAACTCACGCCTGATTTCTGAAAAACTGATCATCGTAGAAATTAGTTAAACAAGCTAAAGACCTCTTCCAACCGCAGTAGCTCTCGTGGGACTGTGCGTCCGTCAGGAGGACGAGCGTGTACAGATGCGATGTTTTCAACTGGTCAACCTGATCACAAACTCGCAGATGGACTCCACTCTTAGGTCTCGGGCTATTACGTCGTTTCTGACGTAACGTCCAGCCCCCACGATCACTCGAAGGGCGACTTTCTACTGCGCTTTGAGCCTGTGCTTCTGCAATGCGTAAACCGTAGCACGTAGCGCCGAGTAGGTCAAGCGCGGGCGGATGTACGTCTCATAGACGCCCAGTTTGTTCTTTAGAGGTAGCTTGTATGTCAGGATAGGGTAGAGAAAGGCTCGGCGTGCCCTGTCTTGTCAAACCAGGACTTGTCGACCTGGAGCGCCAACGCAGTGCAAGGCCTATTCGATCGCTTGACCGCGGAGCTCAAGCGTTGGTTGGTTAACGACGTGGTGTATGAAGATGGCGGACGGCTGACTGATATCCGCCATTTGTTATTACCATTGTATCCGCCGCATCTTCCTCGTCGCATTCGCCGCCTTGTGTTAAGACGTGAAGAACGCACAGTCGTCCGCTAACAGTACGTCTACATCCCATTCGGGAGCGTTGTGCTCCTAGGTGGCAAAGTCTTGTGTTCACCACATCCAGGTGCGGTGACAGACAACTACCTTGAGCCGGGCTTTGATACATCGTACTGCTAATTCGATGCGTACGAAGAACTTCCGTCCTTGTAGACGTCGCCACTAACCGTACGAGCGCGCAGTGGGTGATGGCAGGGCCGCATTTAGGGGAGGGCAACCGGGGCAACAGCCCCGGGGCCTACACAAGCGAGGGGCCCCCACAATAGAGACTTCGGAAAAAAAAATCAAATTACAGACTAGTAAACAATAGTAAATAACTATTCCTTTTCCATTAAATTTTAACAGAAATCAATAGAAAATAATTTGGGGCCAAGGCGCCTCCACTCCTTTGTTGCCCGAGGCCTCCAGACCTCTAAATCTGGCCCTGGATGGTGGTATCATTCAAGAGCCTCTACAGGAGACCCTCGTACCGCAATCTGTCAAATACCTTCTCCATGTAGAAGGACCTCCAGATAGATGCGGCCCCTGTTGTACTAGGGCGCAAGATAGCACTCGGGCGAGCTGAGCTGTGGCTGAATGGCAGCTGCGGAATCGATCGATGCAGGCAATTCTTCTCAGAGAGCAGCAGTCGTTCAAGTAGTGTGGGCTTGCACAAGCGAATCTTATAAATAAACCTAGCCTAAATATCATTACCAAAATTATTCACATGTTCTGCGAATCCTGCCTGGGTGGGATAAGGGCAGGAGAGCTTCTAGAGGCAAGTTATAGGTTTTTTTATCAGAAGCCAAGACACACTAGACTGGAAGCTGGTCGAGCAACTAGAGTACTCTATTCTTTCGATTCAACAATTAATAGGACCGATGTCATTTATATTTGTACAATAAAACTACACTGCATGAATATGTCTTTTATTGTTAAATGTAACAACATATTTCTTTAAACATAATAATATTATAAAATGAAACCAAACAAACTTGTTAAAAATTGTACTTTAATCGGTTACAAAAACAACTGCATTTTAATGGTTACTTATGTAACTCTCTCTGACACATAATTTAATTATGGACAGGAAAGTGGAAACAAACATACGAAAACCAATATCTGTAACATTGCTCATATTTATTTATTGTTAAAACATGAGCTATGTATAATTTTCACATAAAAAATATACAAAACACATAAAAATAGAAAATGCTTACACAAAAGAATGTACTTCTATGTCTATATCTATTAAAAAAAAAACAAATTAATACATACTTTAAACCTGTTACATGTTCGATGTCAAAACTAATCAAAAAATTCACGACATTTCAAAGATTTTTATAAGTTATTCAGGTTTATTGTCATTTGACATTTGAACATTTGATAGACAATTTGGATTTAAAGCTGAAACTTGAAGTATAGCTGGCAAATTAAAATACGTTTTTTTGTTTGCATGTTTTGCTTATTCGAAAACATTATATAAACGTATAAAGACGGAGTTACTCTTCGTCCGTTACATCTGGCTCCGCCTTTTCGTCTTCGCTTACTTCAGCGGCATCGGGCTGACCAGCAATAGCATCGGGGATTACTTCGGGACTTTCTGGCTCCTCGACAATAGGTTGGCTGTCAACCTCAGGTAGGTCGCTGTTAAAAAGAGTTTTTTAATTTTCAAATAACGATGCGGTTGTTTATTCATGTAAAAGAATATATAATTATTGAAAAATAACATACCCGCCCTCCACTTCAGCAACCTCAGCGGCAGAGCCACTGTGCGATAATTCTTCGAGACGTTGTGCAGCCAGCTCAGATTCTTGTCTAGCGATTTCAGCTAATTCAGCAGCCTTAAAAATTATGAATTACTTACATTTCTACAGCTAAATAATCATAGAAGATATATATGCAAGTCAAGTATATTATGTATGTATTTCTGTGAATTAATTTTCCTTTAATAAAAAAAATCATAGAAATAGTGATCTAACAATTATAAAGTTCAATTGACTAATGTTTTTCTTAAAAATTGCATACATTGGTACAAGTTTTACCTGTCTTGCCAATTCTGCTTCACGTTCTTCTTGAGCCTGTCGTTCCAATTCTTCTAGACGGGCTAGTTCCTCCTGTCTCCTTTGCTCAGCTAATCTTTCTTCTTCAAGGCGAGCCTCCTCAGCTAATCTAGCTTCTTCAGCCAATCGTGCCTCTTCCGCCAATCTCGCTTCTTCTGCTAGTCTAGCTTCTTCGGCCAATCGGGCTTCTTCTGCCACGCGAGCTTCCTCTGCTAATCTCGCTTCTTCTGCTTTTCTAGCTTCTTCAGCTAATCTAGCTTCCTCGGCTAACCGCGCCTCTTCAGCGAGCCGTGCCTCTTCAGCTTTTTTAGCCTCCTCCGCAGCCTTCCTTGCTTCTTCGGCTTTCCTGGCTTCTTCCTCCGCTTTTCTTGCTTCTTCCTCAGCCTTGCGCTTGGCCTCTTCAGCCTTACGCGCTTCCTCTTCCGCCTTCTTCTTCTCTGCCGCTTCCCTTTCAGCCTTAAAAAGGGAAATTATGTATTACGTTTACACTTGACTTCCAGTAATTGTTACAATCTAAATATGACCTTACCTGAGCCTTACGCTCCGCCTCTCGTTTTGCCTCCTCCTTTAGGGCCCTGAAAATAATTTCAAATTCTATTAATTTAAAACGTATTCCAAATTAACAAAGATACTATTTACGTGTAATGAATATTTTTATATAAATTTTTCAGTAAACGTATATTTTTGATTCTGCGGATGGAGTTATTTAGTAAGTATTGCTTACTCAGACAACGGAGTATTTTTTTTTATTTTAGAAGGTGGCAAACGAGCTGGCGGTTTACCTGATATTAAATGATAAACGCCGTCCATTGACATTTGCAACGCCCGTAGGGTTGCAGTTGCGTTGCTACCTTTCAATAAAGTGGGCCCAGTTCACCACACTCGCCAGACGACTACACGCCGGACTCCTATGAGGTCGTGGTACTTACGCGGACAGACCTGCCCATTCGTGTAACAGGGAAGACTGTTGCGTGGCCCCACCACGGTAAAATGTTGATGTTGTAAGTATACCCTTACTTTTCCTCTGCGGCGCGCGCCTCCTCCTGCCGTTTCCTCTTGATCTCGGCCAGGTCCGTGGCCGGCGCGAGCACGGGCTCCGCCGTGGTGGCGCGGAAGCGGGCGGCGCGTTCCGCCTTCGCGGCCTTCAGCTCGAGGCCGGGGTCCTCCATCATGGACGGCGCCTGGAACTTGCGGCTCGGCCTCCACGGGAGTAGCTTCACTGCGCCGCGGCCGATGGCACACGTGTTCCCCATTACAACGGCCGCCGCCAAACGACCGGGCCCCGCTTTTCGCGTGGGCGTTTGCCGTCTCTACCCTGACACCCCGTGAGCGACTTATTGACTTCAATTTATTATACAAAACCACGTTCGATCTTGTATTGACATTTTTTTCCTTATTGAAAAGGTCTCGAATTGTGCGTGGGGTAAAGACGGCTCTAGGCTCAGGCCCGGTCATTCCTGTGCTCATGCCAATAGTCACTGGCATGTGACAGTAAGCGCACTACACCACACCTCATGAATGATGCTTGATGCTACTCAGTTTCTGAAGCCCGATGAAAAAACCCAAATGCACATTTCATTTTGCGATTTCTCTCTCCCTCTGAGTGCTTCATGCTGCGGCGCGTGAATGAGTATGGCATTTGCTACGCTTTTGTGTTCCGTGCACGTACATACAGGCGGCTTGCATGAGATGAGTTTTTAAACGGTGAACTGGTAATAAATCATCAATTTCTAAATCTATCACACCCATCGTTGATACGGTGTCATGGCATTTATATTTTGTTTGTCTATTAATTTCGTAATATACAATTGTATCGATTTAGTTATCACAAATAATAAATGTTTAGTCGAGACGGCACAGCGTTAGCAAGCGTGGAGATCGAAGCGTGAAAAGGGTAACGACATGCGGACTAATTGAAACAACAAGAAGTGTGACAAAAAAACAAATTTATTGTTAAAATCAGTTCTGTTAAGCGGAAAACGAGATATCTCGATTAACAACAAAATGTTACGGGGTACGCGATACCACGATAATTGTTGAAGACAATCAATATCGCTCATGTATGAATAAAAGTAATATATAAAAATATATTTTATATGGTAAAATTGGTAAAAAATATATAATATGTGATCTTGGTTAGTCGGAGGGTGTTATACCGAGATCAGTGAGCGCGAAGTCGGTCCTTAGGCGTAGCTAGGGTTCTAGGGATGGGCTCTGAGAGCATTAACAAAATAATTAACAAGCGTTTCACTCGGCTTAGTTGCAGAGTGATACTCGGTAGTCTTTAGAGCGAGATTAAATTCGAGAGCAGTGATGGTTTAATTGGTCGTCTATGAGAGTAAATAAACTGGTGTTATTTTAACCAATAACGTTTGTCGTTAAATTTGTTGAAGAGATAGTATATCACAATTATTTACCGATAATAACGTAAAAGATTAAGATGTGAATAACAATGAATTTGAGATTAATAAAGTTGCAAATTATGTAGGGACTCCAAATTGAAAGGGGAATTATACAAATTTATGGGGGGTACAAAGATTCAAAACCGCTGGTCTAGAACGCGCTGTAGTTAAATCCGATCAGATTCCAGAGCACGCTGTAGCTATGAGGCGATTAGGTTCTACAGCGTGCTGTAGCTACATGAGTCGAATAGGCTCTACAACGCGCTACGGCCACGCGGGACCATTAGGCTCTAGAGAGCGCCCTAGCTACGCCACACTCGAGTTCGCGGCCGAGCTACGCGCACTGCGCCGCCGTCGGCTGTTGCTGCGCGCCGCCCGCTGCAAGAGACACCACACGCAGTGTTAGATACGTTTATACTGGTTTCCATTTTAACATACTGCTCGTTTTACGCACCGAAAGCTTCGGAACGGCGTAGCGATTTTTAGGGCTGTCAACGGCCAGATAAGTAAACCTTGCGAATTTATTTGCCGATCGACGTAACTTAGGGTACGGGTTTGTTTCTCGTTTTATCACTTTTAGTCTTCTAGTATTTGTTTTAACTTTACATTCGGGACTTTGTACAAGTCTACGTGTGGACTCTCTGAAAACGTCTAAATCAACACCTATAACGAAACATTGGATATTTTACATGGTTTTTATACAATTCTACGGTACATGTTGCATTCCATCGAAGTGAATTTTGATGAATTCGCCGTACGTTAATTACAATATACATACGTCAACTGGGGTTCACGGTCAGCGTTGGCGAGATACGTTTTGTTCTCGCCACGTGACGTGTATAAACGTGTTCACTAAGGTGTTGTGGTATATACACGGTCGTCGACAGCCGGTTTACTTACAAGGCCCTCGGTGTTTAAATTATCATTTAATAGAATTATGCGTGGGCGAAGCGAGAACTAGCTAGGCGGCTGCGGTCCAAAGTACCTGTGGCCTTCTCGCCGGCCAAACCGGCCGCGGCAAGTCTATTCTTCGCGTAAAACGAGAGCAGGTTAACGTCATCCCTGATGCTCAGCTCCTTGTAGAGCGGCCGCCGGTTGGAGAACGCCCTATTGCCCGAGTAGTGCACGCACGCGAGGTGGCCGCGCCCTGGGGAACACCTCGCGGTTACAGGCTTACAGGGGCGCTGGAACTAGCGGTTAGTCCGGAAGGGTACGGGAGACAGAGAGATTAACAACGATCGGTTAGGGTTCGTACTTCGTTTGGTTCAGTCAATTGTTGTTTCGAGCGGTTGGAGACGGTACCTGTGAACTTCTTGGCGGGCTCGTTGTAAAACGAGATGCTGTGGATGCTGTCTGTTACGCTGCGCAGCGGCAGAAGGAGTTTGGCTACGTACGCATCATTGCTGAAGCGGTACGGCACGGGCTCCCCGTAGGAGTACCTGAATTTGAAGTCATTAAAGAACTATGTACAACAACACGAACGTACAGGGAAAACGGACATAGCAATGGCTGCGTTTCACAGACCTTTCTTAGTCCCAGATAGCAGCATATTGTGACCTTTTGCCTTTGTAGACCGTATCCAAATATAGAACAATGATTTTTTAAGTCCCAAGTAGTATGTTGAAGCCTTTCCGTTCCCTTCGTAGACCATTTTGAAATATGGAACAATGATTTTTGCACGCCATTGTTACATGAACATAATTAACATTTAAGTTTTTTTGAGTTAATCATATCAAAGAGGAAAGGATCTGAAATACAGTTACAGATATTTTCCTCTTTGAATTTCGTCACACTTTTGTGTATAATTTTTCGTGATAAGAGATCCGATCCTATCGAGTTCCATTTGACCACTTGATTTCGTGCGATATACTGTTATATGTGCGCATAAAATATTTTTAGTTGCAATAAACTAAAACACGAACTGGTAATATCTAATTTTACATTCGACATTGACGCAGACATCCTTGACGTCCCGAAGGAGAGACGCGCGCGCCAATCGTTACAACAACAAATTAAGCCGAGTACGCTTCTCCTCCAAGCGGCGGAAATTTGGACAAGCAAATGCTGGCATTTGACCAGTCTATAATTATAACGTTGTACGCAGGCCCGCGTGAACGAGGAGGGAACGCGCGCTTTGGCTGCGAAAACTACACCCACGCCGGAAATACGTGAACACGTCACTTCTCGATGTATTACTTACTGTTAATAATCTTTTCTTGAATGATATGATTCAGTTCTTAAATACGTTATAATAGCGGCGTGGTCTGCCTGTCATATTACTGTTCGCTATGTATGCGTGAGCTTAGATTGAAGTGATACTGTTTTGTAAAGTACAATTCAAAATTAAGGAGACCCAATATGAAGGTGCGACAAAAATATAGTGTGACTATACACAATAGATTATTAACCACAAATTGATTGAGGTATGGAAGTGACAAGCAAATTTTCCGAAATGGAACTTTACCTATATGTAAAATGAGAGTTGAAATAATGCCAATGTCAAGATATGTTATAGGTAATTTTAAACGCGATTACAGAATCAGCGAATCAGGAGGTATAAAAGTTTTTCTTTGCAAATGTATAAAGCATCTCAAAAAGTTGTACAACATAACTCAATTGTAATAAAGCACCTTGAAAAGCAAAAGTTGTCAATTAAAACTGACCTACTAAAGCTAAGCTTACCCCGCGATTTCCTCATTGAAAGAATCATATACAGCGTGTCGTTAGGGGATAACTTTTTAAAGTTGTATTAAACATTTAAATTCTTTAAACATCAATATTTACAGAGTTATAAAATTTTCCTAAACAAAGAATTTTGGAACACCTTTACCGCGTAAAAACGTAAAAAGTTACGTTTAAAAGCGTAACGTAAAGTTCATTTGTAAAGGTCACAAAGCATATGAATGGGTTGAATGAATTTAAAAGAGACAAAACATACTGTTAGAAGGAGAGGCTTGTATTACGACGCTGTGGCGCGAGTTGTATAGGTGTTACAAATTTTGTTTCTTTTTTACTTAATTAGTTTGTTTGAAAAAAATTTTTTTTTGATTATGGATTTTCTTTAACGTTAATATTTTTTTATGATTATTGGCAAGTAGCGTTAGACGTGTGTTCATTTATTGTCGCGATGGTAACGACACGCTGTATACTCAAATCCCTTTAGAAATTCCGTATTGGCAAGCGCTCCCAGATATTTATGCATGCAGTACTGGATTTACAATATTTCCAGTCGTACGCCAAGACTTTATTTTGTTAAATCTGACATTAAATTCGATCATTTAAGAACTTTGTAAGTTCAGTCTTAAAGACATTTCCAAAACTAATGCTTGATAAAATTCTAAAAATGCAATATTGCGAGGGCCTTGATCGTTTCCGCTCTAATTATCGAGCGATGTCCCGTCAATGCGATACGCCAATGTCAATAGCGTTGCGTCGATTCACCGGCGTGTTTATTCTAAACCCAAAATAGTCTCGGTATAATTTTAGACAGGTTAATCATGCTGACCCTGAAGGATTACCGAGAATTTTCGATTCGGTCGATAATAAGCGGGGGTAGAAAACGCACGAAAATGTTACTTCTTCATGCGCTTGAGAACATGTGGTAAAGCAGCTACAATTTACATAATCGTAAAAAACAATAAAAGTAACAGCCTATACATGTCCCACTACTGGGCAAAGGCCCTCCCCTGTACAGAGGGTATCAGGGCATTCCCCACCACGCGGCCCCACTGCAGATTGGCGGACTATACATAATATCTTCGAAATATGTTTTTTGTTATTTATTCGAAAGGTAAAACAATAATAAGAAAGAAATAATATGTACTAATTGAAATCGACGTAGAAGAGAAATGCAATAAATTATATGCACTGACGTGCATATAATTTATTGCACTTCTCTTCTACATTCTCTACATGCACATTACATCTACATTGACATGTAGATGCAAGAATGATAGTGAGAAATGTAGAATCAACAGTAGCCTTTTCATAAATCGAACACAATATAGGTACGGTAGGGAAATTGCCGAAGAAAGGCTGAAAGAGGTAGATATCATAACTTTGGTTGGATAACAAAGCTGGGAAGCGGATGGGAGGTAGAAGGAGATGCTTACGAGTAGATGGTGTCGAGCGGCGCGACAGACTTGGCGCGCGGGACGACGGAGCGGGCGCGATGCAGGAGCGCCGCGGTGTCGGCGCGGATGCGACGAGTTTCGTCTTCGAACGACTAAAAAATCAAGATAATATAAACATGTTCTGATTCGTTAATGACTCGATTACTTTTTTTACTTGAGAAGGGGCAGTTCACGTGATGTTAAGTGATAGCGGATGCCCATGGGCATTTGCAACACCCGTGGCGTAGCAGATCCGTTGGCACCTTTTAACAAAGTTGACCCCGGCTACCTCAATCACCAGACGAAACGCAGAAGTATAACACTTCCTATCTTCTGTAAGGTCGTGGTACTCACCCGGACGGACCTGCCAATTCGTTACAAAAGCGAACTGTTGCATGGATATTCAGGTTATAAATAAATCATGAAAGTTTTGTAAAAAATGTTATCTTGACTTTCACTGGCCTTGAAATGGCTGTTGATGTGTTCCGAACATTCTGGAACACTTGAAATTCATTGAGTAGTTACGTACGTGTATGCCGTACTTTAGTTTGTATATATGACGTATTAATATTCACGTTTCAACGTTTCGGATATAGTTATTATAAACATACGGTATTCGAAAAAAGAAATGATTACCTATAGATCTTTAGCAAATGTCTGGTTTCCGTCCAATAAGCTAAATAAAGCTATCAGATTCGGAGCCAATTAATTATTTTTTTAATAAACGAAGTACATATATTTTTTTTTAATTTAAATATTTTTTTTGTTTAATTTTTATATATTTATATTTATATTTTTTTTATTTAATTATAATTTTTTTTATATTCTGTTAGGAAACAAGGCATTTAAACTGTAACGGATTTAAGTAAAGGCCCACTGGGCGTAATGCATTGATGCAACTCAATAGTTCGATTTGTTTTATCTTTCTTATGTTCATGTGGTGATTTTGACTTTAATGAATGAAAAAAATACAATAAACAGTAATAAATTAACAACGTCGACTGTCAGCCGTTGCAGACAAAATTAACGACCTGCGGTCTGCTATCCCCAAATAAACAAAGTAATAAAATTTAAATTAGAATTTACCGTTGAAAATCACCTACGCGGCACCTAGTCTGTACAATTTGTCAGTTTGGTATTTCTAATGATTTTAACATGACCAAGCCGTGGACTAACTGGCTACTAACGCGATGATACAGATTTCGGTAGTCTAGTTAACAACGTTCCATCTCCACAAGTTTTTGTAAACGTGATTAAGAGATTGATTTAAACCAAGAATCTTCTTCAATAATGGCAGGTGGCAACCAGCGGGAAGTTTTCCCAATTAAGTGACCTAGTTATGTAATTAACTTCCCAACTTTATTAATGTAAAAGTATGAATCTCTATTACTTGACTATCCCTTTTGTAAAGTACTACACCACAAGAATATAATAATCTGAGCGTATTGTATTTAATCGATTTTGTTCTTAACTTTTTTGCTCTTAGGCCTTATAGGCTTCTTAAGCTTAATTTTTAAACTAAAACACGAGTTTTAGACCAAACTTTGACTTTTACAGAAACACTATCTGTTTCTGTATCTGTGGTCAGTGAAAAACTGGTGCTTCGTGAATCCACTTCAAGTGTCTCGTGTGGAAATGAATTACTATTATGAACAAAGTGTTACAAAATATTTAATGGACTATTTTTTATATGGAAATTGGCAAATAGTTTCAAATAATAAGTACCTGTTAGAAGTACAGTTTTAAAAATGTAGTCAATTGTATAAGCTTTAGAACTTACATTGTATCGAAACCTCCTAGCAACATTATATCAATATTTAGTGTCTCCAACTTTAAGGATTAAGAACCAGTTTTAGGAAACCACTTACTTCTTATTAGCTCATTGCTGCCATCAAGCTACTTATCTAGCCCTTGCTTGTTTGCTTGTTGCTACCTTACCTTGGTGGATTCGGAGCGGAAGAAGTCGTCGACAGCGGAGACGGCCAGCGCGGGGCGGCGGCGGTAAGCGATCCTGTCCAGTTCCCTCAGGATGACGGAGGGACGCACGCGCACGCGCACCACGTGGTGTGGCGCCTCGGGGTACGTGGCGAGTCGGGTGAGAGCGCGATGCTGCGGCCGGTAGATGAGCTCAGCCTGTAATTACCCTCCGATTACTCGAAGACCATGCGATGATCGAAAGCAGTGGCGAGAGGTTCAAGCCCTGAGGGACTCTGTACAGTATCAAAAGCGAATGTAAGGGAAATAAATGCCAGTAGTGGATTTATGCGGGGGTTATGCACTGAAAATGTTGATGGTGATTAAAGAGATGCAATAATGAGTGGTGATTCCACTTGCGAAACTAGGTAAATCAAGGAGGTCACTTTACTGCCTTAAGACCTCACCTTTCTATTTAAATTATATTTGAATTTAAATGTTTTTAAAGCACAGAATCAATAGTGTTTTGAAGAAACAATAATGTTAATATATGGTAGAAGTAGAAAGAAAAAAGGGGGAAATTTATCAGAAGCAAACACAAGCGCAGATCTGAGAATGGATCAGAGAGAATCTGGAACCAGATTTCATTATATACAAAATCTCTCCCGAAGCCTCGCCAGGGAATTAGATTTCACCCCCATCGTGATTTTAACAACCCATCCTAAAGCTTAAAAATATGACCTTTTAAAATATAACTTTGCATCTTACTTATCGTTGCCATGAAAGAACAATTTTGTTCATTACAGAAAAAAATATTCACTTATCTTTTTCTTTTTATACTATGTTCGACCTTGTCGTTTGTCAAAAATTTATTTCTGAGGCCTCCAAATTTTCAATTTAGATCTGCGCCTGAGCCAACATCAATAGTTTTAAGTTATATAGTAGCTAGCCTTTCGCCCGCGGCTTCGCTCGCGTTGAAGCTTCTAACAACATTTTTTTCCAATTAAAAAATAGCCTATGTCCTTTCTCAGGCTCTAGACTATCTGTGTACCAAATATCATTTAAATCTGTTCAGGTAGTTTTGGAGTGAAAGCGAGACAGACAGACAGACAGAGTTACTTTCGCATTTATAATATTAGTATGGATTGATGGTTCAGTGGGTGCGTACCACCACTGCTTATTTCACGACGTGCGTTGGTTTCAATAACAGCAAATGACAATTTGTATGTTTGATACAAGAATCTGGGTGTGTTAAACTGATTAAGCAATGGAAGCAATTTAATGGTGGTAGGGCCACGCAGCAGCCTCGGCTGTTGCACGAATGGGCAGGCTCGTCCGGGTAAGTACCACGACCTTACAGAAGACCGGCGTAAAGTGAAAGTATAATACTTTCGCGTTTCGTCTGGTGAGTGAGGTGGCCGGAGCCCAATTTTCAAAAAGGGTGTCAACGCATCTACAAACCTTCGGGTGTAGCAGTTGTATGGACATCTGCTACACCCGAATAATGTTGGGGAATGCCCATGGGGGCGGCGGTATTCACTTAACATCAGGTGAACCGTCTGCTCGCTTGGCAACCTTTCACATAAAAAAAAAGAATGATAACTGAACAGAAATGATAATTTTCACAACGTAATTATCATCAAAGTAAAGCTTCTTGTTTCATCTAAAATGGCCATGCTGAAATCATTCACAGACGAATTATTGGTGGAAAATATTGGTTCTTATAAAATCAAAATACTAATTTCTTATATGCAAACACTATACTTTTAACTAACACTATACTAATAAAACTGTTTGTGCGGATTTTATCGCGTTTAGTTTTGAACTAAAACTTCCAATGTTTCGAAAACTTTGCAGCATTCATGGTGGACGAACCACTGACAGAGTATAGACGTATGTGTAATCTTGTATCTTGTATTAACTGATGTTTGTGCTTTCAGTCCAGAGACTATTAAAGCTTCATCTGACGCAGAACCGGTGGGCTAGCCAGAACCCACGAGTTTGGGCCCTCCGCGGTGGGTAGGGCCGCGCATGTGCTCATGCGTGCGTTTAACTACGGCATGTCATCTAAGGCCATCGAAGTAGCGGTGCGGACCGGGACCCCGATGGCCGTCGACTGTGTTTTTAGCTAATCGGTGGCTGGGGGCGGTGAGAACCGCCCTGGAACGCGGGTGTACCTTGTGTACGCGTTGTGTTGGTCTCGTCGTGCTCGGAGGCGAGGGCGAACTAACGTGTTTGTTGCTACACTAACTGTGTGTGTAGTGTTATCCGGCGGGACCCCCGACGGTGGGTCCGACGTACCTAAGTCCCCTTCCTCGACCGGGTCGATGAGGACGTTTCGCGGGCGACGCTTGTTGACGCTCGCGTTTGGATCGGGTTGGTAATTTGCTGCGCTTACCACCAGAGGGTTGGGATGATGTTCGGCTCTATCGAAGAACCGTTTGGTCAGGTCTTTGAGAAATTCGCGAATCATCGGGAGTCTGCAATCACTGTGCAGGTCGACGTTGCGTTGATACCACTGCGCACCGGTTGCGCGGCGGATGAACTTATTTTGCACTACTTGCAACTTGTGCAAGCGAGTAGGGTGCGTGTGGGCGAAAATCATGCATGCGTAGGACATGATTGGCCGTACGCAAGCTTTGTATAAAAGTAATTTGTGTCTTAAGGACATTTTACTTGACTGGTTAGTTAAAGTGCTTAGCCGGCCGGAGACGAACGCGGCTCTGTTACGGACGTTATTAATATGCGCTGTGAATGACATACGCGAGTCGAAAGTGACTCCTAAATATTTTACCTTTTTCTCCCAGGGGAGCGGCTGGCCATAAAGAGATATTTGCCCTAGCTTTCTGCATTGGCGACGACCTTTATAGGGATGTGACGGGTAAGTACTTCGTGTGAAGTGAATCGCCACACTCTTTTCGGGATTTACTTCAATTCTCCATTTGCGGAACCAATCGCCGAGGCGGTTGGCGGCGCTTTGGAGTCGAGTGGTTAGTTGACTAAGGTTGCGGTCTGAATAAAAGAGCGCCGTGTCATCCGCGAAAAGCGCGAGATTGACGTGGGGGTCTTTTGGTATATCGCTCGTGTAGAGCGTAAAAAGTAAGGGTGAGAGGCAGGAGCCTTGTGGAACGCCAGCCGTGAGGCGGCGGCTTGTGGAGAGGGCACCTTCAACTCGATATCGAAAGGAACGGTTCGACAAGAAGGCCTGAATGGTGTGTACAAGCCTGTCTGGCACTTTGAGTGAGAACAGCTTGTAAATCAAGCCGTTGTGCCAGACTTTGTCGAATGCCTTTGCGACATCGAAGAAAAGAGCCCCCGTGCTAATATGTTTAGGGTGATTTAGGCCTTTTAGGATATGTTCCGTTAGGCGGTATAATTGATCGGGACAGGAATGTCTTGCTCGAAAGCCGAATTGTTCCGCCGGCAGAAGGCCATTGGAAAACACGTGGTCTTTGACCCTGTTTAATAGAAGCCGCTCGTAAAGCTTCCCCAGGCAACTGAGGAGGCTGATGGGACGATAACTAGAGGGCTGATTGGCTGGTTTATTCGGCTTGCGAATGCCGATAACTTCTTTCCAGTCGTCCGGAAAGGAAACAACTGGAGAGTAAAGTGTTGTAAATGGTCGCCAGTAAACAGATAAGTGGGCCAGGGAGAGCTTTAAGGATTTTATTACTAATATTGTCTGGGCCCGGGGCGGATTTGGGTTTTAAATTTTTGATAATATCGTGGACCTCTTCGGGGGTCACTGAGTTTAATGGATCGCCTTCCGGTGGAAGCGCAGCCCTAGTTTCGATAACGCGGTCCACCTCCGTTAGGTGGGCTGTGTCGATGTATTCGCGCGATGGCGTACATTGCTGCTCTAGGTTGTCCGCAAGGCATTCGGCTTTTTCGGAGTCATCCAGGGCTAATGAAGTGCTATTAGGCATTGCTAACGGCGGTAGGGATTCGCGGGGCTCTGCTTTCAGACTGCGGGCCAACCGCCAGTAGGCGGTGTGCGATGGCTCGATATCCTCTAGTAGAGTGTCCCACTCGGTATGTCGGTGTTCCGATACGCGATCTTTAAATTCTAGCTGAAGGCGTCGAAGTAGGGTTCGGTTCGATTCTGATCGGTATCGGTCGAAAGCTCGTTTGGCTGCATTTTTTTGTCTAATTAGCAGTCTTAGGTCGGGTGGAAAGTTAAACCGTCGGTCGCCCGACAGTTTCACTGTTCGTTTCGAATCTGCAACTGCGGAAGTGATAGATGCGCGAAGACTTGCTATCGCTCGATTTGCGTCATCGAACGTAGCTATCGTCTCGGGTAGGTTGGCGATGTGCTGGGGGTCCAAGGCCTTGAGTTTGACCTCAAGGCGATGCCAGTCCACTACGGTTTTGGTCGGAGGGACCGCGCCGGCGTTCTGGCCCAGTTTACACAGGACCGGCCTGTGGTCTGATTCTAATTCTTGGATTGTCTCTATCGACGCGATGTCGAGGGAGACCTCCTTGAACAACATGATATCAAGAATACTCGGTGTCGAATGCTGGTAATCGTCCACCGTAGGATATCTTGTGGGAGTCACAGGAGCGATTATGCTGTAATTTAAATCGTCAGATAAGTTAAAGAGCTGCCTACCGTTGTTGTTAGCGTAAGTTTGGGGGTCCCATGAGCCGTGTTTGCAGTTTAGATCTCCTGCAATTATCACGGAAGGGCCTAAGTTAAGTAGCGTTTCTAAATCGCTTTGTAGAAGAGTTTTATTCCCCGAGAGGTAGGCTGAAACTAGTACAAGCGGCCTGTGGCCGGTGAGCGCTAACCTACACGCGGATGCCTCTATATGTCTTAGCTCTGGGATATCGAGCGGGCTACAGTGCAAGGACCGTTTATAATATATTAAGGTACCTCCCAGACGGTTTGCTAACCGGTCGTGGCGGACTATATTATAATTTGCGATTTTTGGATCGCGTCTGCTAGGTTTCAAGAAGGTCTCTTGCACTAGAAATATATCGACGTTATAATCGCGAAGGAATTCTGCGATTTCGTCCCTTTGGCCCCTAATGCCGTTTGCGTTAAAATACGAAACAACCAGAGCCCGAGGTTTTAATCTACCTGCGGTTGTACTTTCCATTTTAGTTTTAGTAGCGGTTCTAGGTAACGACGCGGCGAAGCGCGGTTTTATTGCCCGGACTATAAACCTTTATGGTTGATTTGTAAACACCCAAAGGGCGTCTACAAGTTTTTTGTGCTC